CTAGGTCATAATTATGAGACCACATCTAATTTTTATGAGATATGAGACAGCAAGTCATAATTACGATAAACTAGTCAAGTCAAGTCAAGTCAGGCTTTATTGTCATTTCAGTTATATACAAGTACACAGTGAAATAAAACAATGCTCGTTCAGGACCAGCACAGGAACACAGGAAGTCACAATAGAGCACAAGAGTACTGACAGTACAGTACAATAAATAAATACAAAAAACATACAATAAATACAAACAGAACACAGGCAGCACACAGTACTGAGATTATGTGGAGTTGTGCAAAGGAGGATGTAACATACTATGACATATTAGCAGATTAGCAGATAGCCTAGCAGATAGCCTAGCATACATTAGCATATCAGTCACTGAGGTAGCAACCAGAACAGCAATATATAGTATACAGCATATAGTGTACAGTTGGTTGATGCAGTAATTCTAGCAGCTAACATTGTTAAAGTGAAGTAGAATGTGCAAAAATGCAAAGTCAGATATTGTTGCGGAACTAAAATGTGCCAAAATGCATTCATTCAGATCTGCAGTCATATCAAATGAAGTATTTCAGTGAAATGCAGTAATTCTATTTAAATACAGTGTTCCAGACATGATTTGGAACCGCAAGAAGTGGGGACTGAGTTAGACCCATATTGTTATGTATATATATCTGTGGGTCCGTGTGGGCATCCTTCAATTCAGCCCGTGGGAGTTGAGGAATCTGATGGCTTGTGGAAAGAAACCGTTGCACAGTCTGGCTGTGAGTGCCCGAATGCTACCTTCTTCCAGATGGCAGAAGAGGGAACAGTTCGTGTGAGGGGTGTGTGGGGTCAGTCACAATGCTAGTGGCTTTTCGGATGCGGCGTGTGGTGTAAATGTCTGTGATGGAGGGAAGAGAGACCCCGATGATCTTTTCAGCTGTCGTCAGTGTTCACTACTCACTAAGTAGTAATTATGAGATACTGTCATAATTATGAGATATTTGCTCATTATTATGAGATAGGAAATCACAATTATGAGATACACAATTATGAGTCACATAATGGCAAATTTTCTCTTCTTTTTTTTGGCTTACTAAATGGCTATAATTTTGTTCAGTGGTGGGAATGGGCTTCCACTTACACTTGTGAATTTTGGAGCTGATCTTTCGTAAAGAAGGCGCCTTTTTGAAATAAAGCTGCACGTTACGGTCATTTTACCACAGTTAGGGCTTTTTTTTAATGCCAGCTATCTTGCTCACTGCCCAGTTGGTCAGGCACAACAATTTGAACCCCTCATGTTATATGCTTTGTTGATTTTCTAATTTATTGCATAAACTGTTCATTTACTGAGCTTAATATATTGGAAGAAATATTTTTTATGCGAAATGTGTCGTAACTTTTGCACAGGCCACATCTTGCGTTTTATTTATTTATACAGTAATTGTGTTTTAAAAAGTGCAGAAGTGTCTCTGTAGAGGATGTGTTAACTTACTTTCACTGATTTTCATCTAAAGACTCACCAAATCAGTATAATCTATCTTTGATATTGATACAGAAGATAACCGGGGACCCCAAGTTTAGATAAATACTATGGGGCTGCATCTAAAATTATATTGTTTTCTCTGAGGGTGTACATGAATTTATACTTGAGCCCACCTGATTGGTTGGAAGAGTCACTTAATATCTGTATTCTAGGGTTACGGTCTCAGTATCAGTGCAACCCTAGAATATGGACAATAAAACAATACATAAAGCTTTTTAGGGGATTTTTTACATTTAAAAATAGCCTAAGAACCAGAGATACTGGCAGTTAAATGCAGTGTTGTATAGACAGCAATAGACAGACTACTGATATCATGAAGCAATTTTTGACATGCACCTGTGCTATATGCATTGGTGCCAGTAGATGAAATGTAAGTAAAGTAGTAACACGTCAGTGGTGTGGGTTAAGCCAGATAATGCACGTACAAACTGCGCAGAACATGCTAATGATAGTCCCTTACCTGTATGGCTAAGTTAGGCATCTTTCAGGAATCACTCATCTCCCGCTGCGTATTCGTTATAGTCTGTGTTAATGTCAGTCCAGGCTGGTATCAAGGAAGTGAACATTAGAGAGACAAATGGAAAAAACCTCCAGTCTTTTGAGGTAACAGTAGATTTTAGCCACTGGACCCACCTGTGGTGATCCTCATTCAATCAGCTGCATCAGACTGCGCAGTGGTCCTGCGGCTTGGTGCTGTTATCAAATCAAGAAATCTGAGACTTAACAGCTACAACTGACAGTGTGAGTTATAGTAATATTGTCCCACCATTGGCTGCACTGCAAAGAGGCTCTTGGGAGGCACCTCGCTCCTGGTAGCAGAGGCATTTATTATAGTTAAGCTGTGGATGTCAGTTTAAGATATGTTTGCATGTTATGTGTGCTTTATTGTGCTGGGCTGTGGGGGGCGCTAGTGGGGTTAAGTGTCTACCATACAGAGGAGTACTGTAAGTAAAAGTGACCTTCCCTGCTTTCTCACTGTGTTGATCAATGCTGAGCGGCGGTTCTCCTGCACTGCCTGCTCAATAAAAGAGCATTCGCCTTTAAAGTGCAATGTGACCCACGTCTTTTTCTGTGCTTACGCTACACTAGTGTCAGAAGTGGGATAGCACTTCTGACATGGCTCAGGAGGAGTTACTGCTGAGGCACTTCTTGAACACGCTGCTGCTGGAGGAGCTGAGACAGCACCGCACCAGCCAGTCTTCAAGCCGCCATAGCCAAGGCAAGGAGTTCAGCCACACCTGGGGAGGAGGATGCAGTGCTCGGTCTCTAGCTGCGTCACAATTCAAGTGCTGCGTCCTTTGGAGGCTGCATTTGGAGGCTGATTGCGTCACAACGGCACGACTAGGCTGTCCCGTTCTAAAGGCTCCTTCATATGCGGCTGAGAAATGTGTCCTTCTTTTCCATGGCAACGGATGGATCCTTTGCCAGCCAACATATTCTGAGGTTCATAGCATGCTGCCTTTCATTGCATTTCATTTTGTTTTAGGGAGCAAGGAGCAGACAGAAAGAAGCATCTCCAGCTCTAATGAATGAAAAAAAAATATATATGTATATATATATATATATATATATATACATATATATATATATATATGTATAAAAAAAAATCAAAGTTTCTGGATTTGTTTTTAAAAACTTTAAAATAACTTGACAAGAGCAGGAAATCCGCCATAGAGCAGTCTCATTTCAGTTTAGCCTTTGTGGGTCTAAGCAGCCTTCAAAGGACACGTCTTTGTAGACCACATCCTTCGAAGGATGCTGCCCCTGAATTTGGGACACACTGGCTCTGGTGTTGGGCACTGATGGAGAGGACACACCCTCGAGAGAGAACTGGATTGGTCAGTTGCCCAAGGGACTAAAAGCATGGGAGGAGTGGCCATGCAAAGTGGCCATGCGCAGAAACTCTCGAAGGCTCAGTGCTCCCAGTAGGAAAGACATTTATCATAGAGAAGCTGTGGATGTTAGTTTAATATGTTAATATGTTTACACACTATTTGTGCTTTATTTTGCTGGACTGTGGGGTTGGTTAGTGGGATTAAGTGTCTACCAGAGTGGAATCCTATGGCTAAAAGTGACCTTCCCTGCTTTCCTGCTGTGTTGATCATCGCTGAGCTGTGGATCTCCTGTGCTGCCTGTTAAATCAAGGAACATTCACCTTTAAAGCGCGATATTTCTTGCATCTTCTTCTTCAACAGCATTACAGTATGTTCTAAACTCCAGCAGTCTGGCACTCGGAGATGTAAGTGAGAGTGTACGTGATGCAAGTATGAGACAAATGACTTGAGAAATTTGGGTGTTAAACAGCATTTAGCACTGTTTTTGCTGTGCCTGAGAAGCTGCTGTGTACTTACTCGTACACAGCACAGGTTTATCTATAATTTATTCAGTTCCAGTTAAAGTTTTTTCCTTCACCTGTAAAGTTATAGTTTTTTGAGATACAAGGTTCTGTTCTGACAGTGACGATATGTATAATGATCAGCCATATCATTGAAACCACCTCCTTGTTTCTACGCTCATTGTCCATTTTATCAGCTCCACTTACTATATAGGTGCACTTTTGTAGTACAATTACAAACTATAGTCCATCTGTTTCTCTGCATACTTTGTTAGCCCCCTTTTACCCTGTTCTTCAGTGGTCAGGACCCCCACAGGACCCCTGCAGAGCAGGTATTATTTGAGTAGTGGATCATTCTCAGCACTGCAGTAACACTGACGTGGTGGTGGTGTGTTAGTGTGTGTTGCGCTGGTCTAAGTGGACCAAACACTGCAGTGCTGCCAGAGTTTTTAAACACTGTGTCCACTCACTGTCCACTCTATTAGACATTCCTACTTTGTTGGTCCACCTTGTAGATGTAAAGTCAGACAGTAGCTCATCTGCTGCTACACAGTTTATGTTGGTCATCCTCTAGTCCTTCATCAGCGGTCACAGGATGCTTTTTGACTGGTGGACTCTTCTCAGACACTGAGATGTTTAAAAACTCCTGTCTGATCCACTCGCACCAGTGCAACACACACTACCACACCACCACCACTTCAGTGTCACTACAGTGCTGAGAATGATCCACCAACCAAATAATACCTGCCCCGTGGTGGTCATGTGGGGGTCCTGACCACTGAAAAACAGGGTGAAAAGGTGCTAACCAAGTATGGCCTACTAGTATGAAGCATAAAAACAAAGAGGTATTTTATTATTTTTATTTTTTTTATGTTATGGCCGATGAGTGTGTATTCTATTCGTTTATAATGATTATTTAAACGCTGAACTCAAATTGAGGTCTCACGAGTCGTTTCATAAGGAATCCTATACAAATCCGCCGGTGACGTCAGAGATTTGCAGCCCGAGCCTCTTATTGTTACACGGCTCCACCGAGTCCATTCCGGCTGCGGATCCGCTCCGGCTTTTCCAGCAGCGTCTAAAGCTGAGCTGTGTAGCCGCAGCAGCAGAGCCGCACGCAGGCAGGTGTGAGTGGGGAAGCACACGGCTTTTATACCACCGACCATCCTCCTTCATTCATCGACACAGCTCTGCTCACGCCGCTCATCCACTATCAGCATTTGAGGATTATGAATTGTGATTAACAGAGCGCGCGAGGTAAGCGTTTCCTCTGGTATCACGGGCTCCTGTTGTAGTTTATTCACAATGGCACTAAACGCCTTTCTCTGGTAGATTGTACTTAATTGCTGAGGCGCGAGCGCCGTGCGGTTGTAGACTGGGGGAAAATGCAGCGTGGCTGTCAGTCATTGAGAAAAGGAGTCGATACTGTTTGAGAATTGACGTGGAATGACTGAAGACTTTAATGACTTAAATGGTGCCTCCTCGCTGAGCTTTACGCTTCGTTAATGGAACAAAGATCGGTCTACTGACGATGTGTGCCCACTTTTCTCCCACCGTTGTTTTCAACGCTGATCCAGTGATGTGTATTGAGCCATCAGTGGTCACTGCTTTGCGCAACAGGACTGTGTGTGAATGGGCATTGGGCACCAGTGTATGAGTTCGGGCTAGTAAATCTCCCTTACATCACCTGTACATCTCTTGTATATCTCTTTGGTTTGTGCTTTGGTTATAAGCGCTCCATTGATGCCTAAAGGGGAGCTCCGCCGATTTTTCAAAATTTCTGCGTAGTTCAGTGGTTGAGATATAAGCCAAGTGATTCAGAGTGGTTTGATGATTTGAGATTCATTTGTAGATAAACTGACTCTGATGTCTTTATAGAGGTGGTGATAAGAACCAATGTCTACATTACTGAAACAATGTGATGTTTAACTGTGTAAAGCGCAGTAAAAGGGGAATTCCACCAATTCTTCAGAATTTCTGAGTAGTTCAGTCATTGAGATGTAAGTGGTTTGCTTGTAGAGAAACTTACAGCCTCTGATTTCTTCACAGTGGTAATGATAGTAAACGGGCTCACAATAAAAGGGGAATTCCACCAATTTTTCAAAATTTCTGAGTATATGTAACGTTAATGATGGTAAAATAGTCATATATCTGAAAAACAGACCAAAAACCTTGTCCCTAAAACTACTGTAAATCAATGTCTCAGACGTTAGGCAGCGTGTAATAACTTTCTGAGGGAGCTTTTACAGATCCAGTCATCACCACCGTGAACAATTCTGACTCGGTAAGTTTCTCTAAAACTGAACATTTTACACCAAACCTCTCTGAATGACTTTGTTGACATGTTAACTGTTTAATTTTGTAGAATTTCGAAAAGCCGGTGGAGTTCCCCTTGAAGATACCTTGCCAGTGTGGATTTGATTGCTGAAATCCTTTAGTTGTTGTATTTGCCACTGAGTCTGCTATGATCTGTCATTTCTTAGCCTTGAAAAGTTGCATATGAGTTGCTTTACTGATACATTTTGGGCTTTAAAAGAAGAAAGAAAGTGCAGCAAATCCAACCTGACATCAGACTTTGGTGGAGGTTGACTAGAACACATTTTTCCTCCTTCACAACCTGCTTTCATGCTCAAGACCTGTTCAGATCTGCCCTCCCTAGGGTCTGCACCATGTTATGAGGTGACACCCCCCCCCCCTTTTCAAACCATATTGATTAAACCGGAATTGCTGTTATTGCTTTTTCTCTGTGATGCATCTTATTTTATTGGCTGTTCATTTTCCCACTGTGGAATGTTAACCTAAGCTTCTCTCTGTTTTTTTCTTGTGATAAGTTGGAAGCAGCTTCCTTTTTTCCCCAGAATTCCTTTCTGACATCATTAAATCAATTCATACTTTACGCTCAGGTTCTTACAAGGTGCTCTAGTGCAGAAAGCAATAATGAGCCCCTTATATGACAGTGGTCTTAAATAAATGAAAACAGGCAGTGTAATTTGCTTGTCTTGTTTACTCACCATCATGTCTCAACCAAACTGGTGCTCTAATGTGGGCAAATGGTTGACACACAGTGCTGTGCAAAAGTCAGAGACCTCTATTCGCTTGTTTAGTGTCCCGTCCGCTTGGCGATTAAGGGCACGTTGTTCAATTTTGAGAAAATTACACAGAATCCTCAACAGCTGTTCTTTTTCTGCAGGGATATTTTTCCACACCTCCAAAGTTCAGTCTTAGACCTCGGTTGCACACTCTGCTTCTCACGATCCAAGTAATCCCAAACTCATTTATAGATGTTGAGGTCTGAACTCTAGTCCATTATTCTGAGAACACCAGCAGCGCATTTGTTTGATTTTGCAAACTTTCTTCTTCTATTTTTTCTCAGTCAGGGCTTCTTGACAGCTACACATCCTTTCAGACCCGTAGCGCTGAGTTGGCGTCTCACAGTGGAAGGATGGACAGAAACACCTGTGTATTTTTCAAATCTGAAGCAGCTTGATTTTCTCCTCACTCTTAAAGATGAAAGCTTTAAGTGCTGTTTATCTGATGGAGACAGTTTTGGTCTTTCAGGTCTTGCATGGTTGTTAGGAGACCCATTTTCTGTGTTAATACCTATACTTCATTAGGCGGCCCAGTGCGACTGCCGTTAATTATAGCTGTTCGTATTTAAAGGACTTTTTCATGGACTCATATTCCATGACTTACGCTCTATGCTTTTTATTGATATCTGAACTGACCACAAAAAGCTTTTCTCCAATACTCTTTTCTTACAACATTAATGCACTTGTTGGTTGATTTGGTTGCACCTCTGAGTATTGCATGTGTTCGAGGTCTTCTCTGAAGAAATACGCTCCAATGTTTCCCAAAATCTGATAGAAGTGAACACACTTTCAGTGAGATGACTCATTGGTTAGCGATGCGATTAAGGGTAGCTTTAGTGGAAACATTGCTGAAGCATCGTCAGTGAAGTGGCCCTCATATAGCTGCTCGGTGATGTTTAGGGAGAGATGACAGGCCAGAGAGAGAGAGAGAGAGAGAGAGAGGAAAACTGCCAGGACAGGATGCATAATCAGATTCATTAGAGCAGAGATAGTCCACTGTGTCAAGTGTTCTGGAGCACTTTTTATTTTTTTCTTTTAACAATGTCCTCACTCTGTAACTCCCTGTGCTGAATCACAGTGTGTCAATGTATAGCTCCAGGTCCTATGCTTTGTTGTAAAGAGGGAGAGAGAGAGGGAGGGAGGGAAAGAGGGAAGGAGAGAAAGGGAGGGGGGCAGGCCTCTCTGTGGTGCTTTCTAGTTTCTCCTCTTCCCCAATAGATTTTTTGATGTTGAAATTAAGGCAGCGTGAGCCTCGGAATCTTATGATTTAAACATGAGTCATGAAAACTTGCAGGAAATTCATGAGCTGATAGTAAAAAGACGAGCTTGAAGGAGTGGATAGTTTAGACGGCGTGTCCATGAATGCTGACAACTCATACGAAGGCTCCTGTCGGCCTTGGCGTTCTGGTAAACTGATATATCACACAAGCTTGACTATACAGTTCTGAAAGACAAAATCTTGTTGATGTAATTAGTTTTCATGCGGAAATGATGTACGAATTGAATCAAGTGCTTACAGTGCATCATAAGGCCTGTCACAATTATTACATAATTGCTTGATGGCAATTATTTGAGATAAGCTGGCTGCAGTTATTTTCTACAGTTAGCTCTCACAATCATATGTTTACATTGCAACAAACACAATGTGCATTGAGTACATTTTCATTAGTTAGTCTAAGTTGAGGAAAATACATAGAAAATTACAGACTGTCATAATTACTCGACTGAAATTAGTCACTAGAAATGTGTGGGCATATTTGAATGATAAGCATCGTGTCCTCATTATAAAGCCATGTTGAGCTGTTTTTCCACAAGAGAGCACTGTTAGCACTCAGGTTGCTTTTGTATGTGTCACTAAAATTGAGGAAACTCACACCAGCAGGATCTCACAAATGCATGTGTAAATGCAGAGATACAAATTGCGTTAAGTGTGTTTTGTTGTATTGTGTTGGAGATGAAGGCGTTTCTGCACATGGCACGTTCAGGAGTGGCTGAGCACAGAGTGAAATTCATTCATTAGTTGCTGTTGTGTGGTTGAAAGAAGCCTTGTTTACTAACTGCTATTAAGGTGTGTATATCCTTTGTTTGTATTTATTTATTTTGCTTTTTAACAAAACCGAATTACCGAATTAATAGAATAAAAGCATCACTGTTAAATAATTATTTCATACACAGTTGCATTAAAATGCTGATTCTTTCCAATCTGGCAACCCTAATCTGGCTCTCAACAGTATTAAGCAGTGCAGGAGTGTAGAAAGAGTGTCTTTTTTAACCATCATCTTAAAAAATGAAAGAAAAAATCATAATCACAAGTATTTGGCCAATATTGAGATCACAGTTATTTAATACGATGAGTCATTGGCTTTGGAAACATCATGCATTTACTGAACTTTTTAAAAAAAAAAAAAATCTTGGCTTTTTAGTTGTGGATTTCCTTAAGCTTAAAATGTAATTCAACTGAAAAACAAATAAAAAATAAATATAAATGAATAATATATGAACGTATATACATTTAAAAAAAGAATTAAAAATAATACATAAAAATAAATAAATAAGATAAAAATAAATAATATTAACGGTGTTGTAGTGCACTTTGACAACCTACTCAAAACTACTTAACATATGTAAATGTGAAAAATAAAAATAATGAGATGAGTTTGGGCTTTAAGGGAGGGGCGAAAGTGTAAAGGAAAGGGCTGGATTTATAACACAGGACAAAGTGAAAGCATCTTTGCGAAACAGAATGCGGCACAATAATCGCTTTCTCTCGATTATCTTGTTTTCATAATCGTAGGAAGCCAAAATCGTATTTGACGATGAATCGCCCAGCCGTACTTTTTGATGATTTCTTGTCAGTGAACTGAATTGTGATGAAAGTCTTTAAGCTGCTCAGAACCACTTCATACCACGCCAAACAGCTTTATAGGCCAATGCAGTCTGAGTCATTTTCCTGCAGCTAGCGAGCCGGTATGCTCTTGTTTGTTCTCGATGATAAACACAACTGAGACATTGCTAGCTAGCTAGCAATCTGGAGATGTAGGGAACTCATTTGGACTGCACCTGGACGTAAAACCAATACTGTGACCTGGAATAGTGAGTCTCACAAACTGAGCCAAATCACAAAGAGTTTGCAATGAGTCCCGTTCACAGAGCTGGCAGCTGCATGCT